AAGCCTTAAAGCCCAAAGCCTAAACCCTTACTTAGAGTAATCCTTTATAGAATCCTTTAAGGAGCCCTTTAAAGGAACCCTCTTTTAATTATAACTGTCCGGTGCTTAGTAGGGAATGGGGGAATGGATCCCTATGATAGTCCTTAATGTCCTTTATAGTAGTCCCTATAACCCATTCCCCCATTCCCTACCAAGCACCAGACAGTATTACACAGTAATAGGTCTATCAACCCGCATGGACTGAAAGGACCCACAAATAAAGGCATAAGAGTTTAAAGCAAGCTTATAAGCCCTAAACCTGAAATGGTCGAACCCATATATAATCCAAAACAAGTCCATTAAAGAAAGCCTTCAGGGACCCTTAAATGAACAAGGAACCCTCAAAAAGAAGCCCTTCAGGAATCCCCCCTGTCCTAACCCTTGAAGGATTCCTACAAAAGAGCCCTTACCCATAGGCCCTAAAGTACTGTAGTTCCTTTTTTGAGTTCATATATAGAATCCTATAAGGTAACCCCAAGAAGGAACTACTATGGGGCCTATGGGTAAAAGGAACCCTTAAACGGAAGGCTGAAAGGAACCAACCCCAAACAGGGACCGCTCTTCTAACGTCATACGCATGTGAGCCCTAAACCCTATAAGCCGTCCCTTTTCTAACGTCAGACGCATGCGAGTGGCAGGCCCTACGGAAGCGATGCTTTCTCGCAGCTCGGCTGCAGACAGCGGGACATCTGCGCAGCTTTCAGGGCTGATAGGGCGTTTTTAGGGTTTTAGGGTTTTTAGGGTTTAGGGGTTTGGGGCTTAGGGTTTAGGGTTTAGTGTCATGGGATCTACGCGGTTCCATAAGCGCTATAAGGCTATAAGGGTTTAGGACTTTAGGGGTTTACGGCTTGGGTTTTTGGGTTTAGGGCTTAGGGTCATGGGATCTACGCGGTTCTATGAGCATTATAAGAGTTTAGGACTTTAGAGGTTTAGGGCTTGGGCTTTGGGTTTAGGGTCATGGGATCTCCGCGGTTAAGTAAGCGTTATAAGTTATAAGGGTTTAGGAGTTTAGGGGTTTGGGGGTTCAGGGTTGAGCGTGGGTAAGGGGCTTAGGAGGTACTCCCCTAAAGCCTTAAATCCCTGAACACTATTCCCTGACCCTGTGGGGACCGCTCTAGGGGCCTTAATCAGGTTCTAACATGGATTTGCCGTAACGGAATACGATTGACTACGAATTCTTCCGACCTCTACCTCTACCTAAACCCTAAACCCTAAACCCTAAACCCTAAACCCTAAACCCTAGCATCAAAATAAACCCAATAGGGTCTGCGGGCCCCAAAAACCTTAAACATTATGAGTCCTTTGCGGGTAAGGGCCAGGCACTAAACCCTAAACACCTAAACCCTAAACCCCTAAACCCCTAAACCCCTAAACCCCTAAATCCTAAACCCTAAACTCTAAACTCTGAACCCTAAACTCTAAACCCTAAGGGCTAAATTTCAACCGCAGCCCTGGTAGCCACGAAGAAGCACCCATGGGTAGTCTGCAACGTTGGCAGGGCGGATTTCTGGCCTTTGCTCTGGAAGTAGGGTTGTAGGGTTTAGGGTTAAGGGTTTCAGGGGTTTAGGGTTTTAGAGTTTAGGGTTTAGGGTTTTAGAGGTTTAGGGTTCAGAGCTTCAGGGTTTAGGGTTTACGCGGCTCCCTAGCAATCCCTACCCATAGACTCCATAGTAGTCCCGTTTGGGAGTACCTTATAGGATCCTAAACATAAAGCCACGAAAAGGAACTATAATGGAGCCGATGGGTAACCACATGGTTTAAGGGCTTAGGCTCGGGTTTCTGTCTCCTGAATTTCAAACTTATATAACGAAGTGACCCCAGTACCTAGAACTCTACAGTGAACCCCAGAAAGTTGGAACATGGATTTCGGAGGATTAGTGCTAGGATCCTTTATACTTTACGTTAAGGGCATGAGGATAACAATGTTCTAACTTTCTGGCTCCTACTATAAATCTACATCCTCTTGGCTAACCCTTAGAGTGTTGGTGGGATTGGCGATAACCTCGTATGCTACCTCAGTTTTTAGCTACAGGTCTTACAGAATCTAGCGGCCTGTTGGCCCAGGTCTGCAGAAAGAAATCGGTCTTTGGACGAGCTTGTTTTTAATGCAAGGGCCTTAAAAATCAGACCAGGGTTGGTTTAGAGTTTAGAGTTTAGGGTTTAGGGTTTAGGGTTTAGGGTTTAGGGCTTAGGGTTTAGTGCATTACCTGTAGTCTCCATTGTAGTTCCTTTTGTGATTCGCCAATTTATATTACAGGATCCCAACCGCCAAATTGGTTAACAAAAACAGGCACTACAATGAAGACTATAGGTATTGTAGACAAAGAGTGAGGAACCCTGAGGAATGATATGAGTAAGCTATCTATATACGGACATAGCAAGGAACCCTAAGGAACAATATGAGCACATTATCTATAATTCAGGCTTTTGCATTAGGAGAAGATCCGACCTCTGATGCAAACTGTTATTCCGACGGTCCGGTGCACCCTCCATGGGCAGCTGGACGGGTGGCAGGCGCCCAGCAACGCACAACTGACAGATGGAGGGCAGTAAGTCCAGATCAGACACTGTGCGAATCATCCCGGTGGACTTTTCGTGCTGAAGTTTGACAGTGCTGCGCTACAGAGCAAGACTGCACGATGCTGTAGCCTGAGAACATACTCATCTACATGTCATTAATTAGCCCGAACTCCAAACCGTCCAGATTGGAGTGTCTGAATACATACATGTACATATATATGTACATATATATAACATACATATATATATATATATATGTATGTGTGTGTTGTTTAAAAGCATGTCGATATCTTGCTCATGAAAATGTAACTCTCTGTCTACTGACCCGTACACCGCAGACGTTCAGACAGAGGGCAACTCTCTCTAGTCCGGGTTTCGGGGTGTGCAGGGATAACTTTTTGCTCCGTGTGTCTGGCCCTATCCCAAAACCCGAAACCCAAAACTCTGAACCCCTAAACCCTAAACCCTAAACCCACCGGAAAGCCGAAACTCTGCGCCCAAAAACCCGAAGTTTCATGGGCACGAGATTCGAAACCCCCCGACCCGGGACCGACTCCCCCTCCAAACCTCAAACCTTTGGAGCCCACACCCTGATTTCGGTTTAAGGTTTAAGGTTTAGGGTTTAAGGTTTAGGGTTTAGGGTTTATAGGTTTAGGGTTTAGGGTTTAGGGTTTGGGGTTTAGGGTTTAAGGTTTAGGGTTCAGGGTTGTGTTTTCTCGGTGATCTGGACTTCTGGGTCTAAGAACCTGCAAAAGCGAGAACTGGGCAGAGGGTCCAGAAGCGCGGCCGTCCCAAGTGGTCTCACTCTGATTAGGAGGGTTTAGGGTTTAGGGTTTAGGAGGGCTGTCTTCTCAGGCTAGCGTCTTTGGTGTTCAGGGTTAAAAGCTTTTCGCCAGAATGTAATTAACCCCCTTAAAGACGAAACCTTCTCTTGGACCACATGTAACTGATTCCTCCGTCCCCGAACTTGGTTTGGTCATTGGGCCAAGCTTCAAAGTTGTGATTCGAAGATCTCTGGTGGTGCATTTGCTATCTGGTTCTTCCTGTTTGGGGATTTAGGGGTTTTCGTGACTGAGGCGGATACTTGAGACGCCTATGCTCGAGGATATGCTTGACTAGCGTCTCGGGTGCTGCCTTAACCCTCAACCCTACATCCTAAACTTCTAAATCTTGAACCCTAAACACTAAGTCCTAATTAATTCCTAAATCCATATTACTTCTAAACGTTGCAAGGTTGGAGCGTTCTCGGGGTCTCAGGAAGGCTGCGCAAAGGATCCCGGCAGAACGCTTGAAAAGGCAAGGACAGGACGTAATAATTAGGATTTTTACGGGGGTTCGATGC